ATTTTAAAGATAAAACACACTCGATTATTTCCCTCAGTCCCAAAAGTGTGGATACTAGAACAATCCCCTACATGCCACTGAGTGGTTGTCGAACTGAAGTTAGAGCATCACCTTCATTGCCGCTAAACTGGAAAATCATCGCAACAACGATTTGGTAGGGGCCAAACGGTGATTAATTGTCACATCAACTCTTGTGCAACGAAATGACGCTCTCCTCAGTGGCAACGGCCTATTGTTCTCTAGTGTCATTTTTTGTACGAACTCTTCTCTGGTGTCATCGAACAGAGAGACATTAGCAAGCAACTTAATTAGTTAGAAACACACCAAAAAGTACCTAGTCCCCATGGAAAATATCGAAGCATTATCCCTGAAGTCAGAAAACCCAAAGGTGATGTTGCACCAGCCCAAACAACATCATCAGTTGTAAACAGTAAACAAGGAGAGCAAAGAGTGGAAGTGGATACGATTCCACAGATCCCTGCAGACCCTTCTTTTTTTTACATGAAGATCTATCTGGCAACTTTATCGGTCCCGAGAAGAGGGCAGGCAAATCGATGTTTTAGCACAACAGAAACGCTTGTTGTCCATTGAAACGATTCATCAATTTGCTGCTGAAAAAACAGTCGATGTCAAGATGCAGCAACGGTGCCCTTTTCCGCAATATCCACATGCCACTCTGAACTAACTGATTCATGGGGTTGTTTTAGGTTGTCGTTCATGGCACTGAGTACACATCCTAATGCAGATTGAGGTGATACCTTTACAAGATCAGAAGTTCAGAATAAGTGAAAAATAACAACCATTTCTGCTGCTATCTGTCAGGGCAAACTAGGAAGTAGAACTTTGTCGAAGGAGAGAAGGCTGACACGTCCATTATCAACTTGACAAAATTTAAGAGGAATGCCGCCACACTTGCTTTCGATGGTTTCCAGTTCATCCCTTGATGGTGGTTTGTCTCTGCACCAAATCGAGTAAACAAGAGCTATGATGGAAAGAAATATCATTCAAGAGATCATATGCATCCAAACACAAACTGCTAAGCCCAAATTCATATATTCATGGCATTTTTTCGTGTCTCCTTGCCTACTTCTATAACTTTTTCTGCAAATTTGTGGCTTCACGTGTTTCATTACCCACTACATGGTTAGAATCACTATTTATTCTGTTGGGGAAAAGTTTGTCACGAAAATGAGAACCTGTGATAGGGTGTGACTGATGGATATATGATAAGCATATAAATACAAGAAATCATGATTGATTGCACATTTCGATTGCAAGACATAGCTCAGCTAAGTAAAAATCTGATTGGACACCAAAAATTCCCTATCAGCTTGGATACTAAGCTTAAATTATATACATTAGCTCGAACATTATAACCACCGTGATAACAGAGCAAAGTATTAAATCTATGTATATGTGCATACAATACATTAACAACACAAAAGAGAGATATCCATGTGCACAGAAAGACAACCAATAACACCTGATAGATAAATCGTGATGCCTAAATGTGCAGAAGTTTCAGAACATCCATTTCAAACCAGAAGAGATTAAAATCATATCAAACACACAATGAACAATTTATGCACTCTTGTAGAAAACCTTGTGATCCTACACTGCCATTTTAAACAAACCTTGTGAACTACTGTAAGATGAAAATGCACTAGTTTATAAGCACAAATGCACGTGAGAAAAGTAACATTACCTTAACATAGATAGGAAGAAACAAGGGGCTCCAGGGGATGACTTTCTAAATTTGCTATTTGGTAGATACACTTCAAAGGATGGATGCAACCCATCTATGTGCATTTCTTTGAGTAATTTCGCGATGCCGCTGCGGACACCGTCGGCTCTATCGAAGCTCTGGTTAGTGTCAGGCATACTCTCCAGGGAATCAGTGGTTTCACAAGTAGGGTTATGCTTCATTGTCCAGGGGACACCATATCGTCCAATAATGTAGCCAAGCAACTTCAAGTGTTTGTAAGCCTGGAAGGCATCCCACGAGCACCCATATTTTCCTCCTGCAATCTTTCCATAGATTTCTTCCATTCCTATTGTCCCACCCTCATCATCGAGAAAAATCAATGCCCCTCTTTCTGCCAAAAACCTGCATAGTTTGGTCAGCCAACACGCCTTAGCTTGCAAGTCAAAGTATTTGAAAACAAAAGGCATGCCATGCAATTCATCCAATGAACATTTGAGTGCTGCATAGTGTAATTATTGCACACCGTTGGGTTAAACAAGCACAATCATATTGATTCAAGCATGAGGACTCCAGGATATTCTTTATGTGCATGATCAGAATTCAAAAGACTGCTATTACACACGTGGACAAGATTAGGAGATCGTGCCTTCGGCAAAAAGATGACATTACTGAACATCGTAATTCGCTGGCAGCTTGGCACATGGTTTGCCGTCCGAAAAGTAAAGGGGGGCTTGGGGTTATTACTCTGGAAGTCCAAAATGAAGCTCTCATCCTCAAGTACTTGTTTAATTTTTTTAATCGTGCTAATATACCATGGGTGGACATGGCTTGGCAAGCATACTATCAAACTGATACGCCTCAAGTGTGTGGTCGGGTGGGACCTTTTTGGTGGATAATTTCAGAGCTATCACTGCATGCGTCCCTTAGGATAGTAAAATAATTGTGTGCTGGAAAGACAGATGGATGGGAGATCTTGTAGCTGAGAAGATGCCAAGGCTTTTTTCATTTGCTCTAGACCCAGATATCTCACTTACGGAGATGACAGCTGCAACTTCGGTGGAAGACTTGGCAAGTTTCTTTGCAATCCCAGTCTCCCCTCAGGCCTACTGTGAGCTTCAGGAACTGCATAGTATGTTGGTGGAGCTTCGTAGTGAGTCTCGCTTTGGCACCCAGCTAGATACTTGCACGTTTAAATCCTCCCAGTCTGGAACCTACTCTTCTGCGGGATATTATAAGTTGATGTTCAGCTGTGTCCAGGTTTGCCCGTTGTTTGAACTTATTTGGAAAAGTAAATGTTTGCCAAAACAGACGGTTTTCATGTGGCTATTAACTCTGGACCGGCTTAATACAAGAGACATGATAGATAGAAGACACTGGACGATTGAGTTTGGGGTGAATTGTGCTCTATGTCAAGTCAGTGTCAGAGAGTCTAGAGAACATCTGTTGTTTAACATCAATGGCCCTTGCTCCATAGAAATAGTTTCATCTGCCTTATGGAACATTTCGAAGCACTGTAATGACTGGATCTTTGAAATAAAAAAGGTTGCTTCACTTGTTGGTTGGCGCAGAAGATTGATTAATTAGTGACCTGAACCTCATCACATTTAGAGTTAAAACAGTGGAAGTGGAGCCACTGAAAGCTTGGATTGCGTCTATTTCTTAAACCCGCGGTTTTCTCTAGTTTCCATTTTATTCTTTTTATTAGTATAGGCTCCTCTCTCTTTTACTGTTCTGTTGGGGGCCATCTCAACCCCCATGTAAAATATGTAAATTCCGTTTACTCTTCTTTTTAATGAAAGTTATACCGGGATTCCCCTACTGTTTGCCCGTAAAGAAAAAAGAACTCCAGGACATGCTCCGCATTTCTTAGATGAAAGACGTCATGCACACGGCTTGGTAAGAAGCCCCGACGGCCACGGTAGCATATCACAGAGCAAATAACCATGTTCTACTGTCGCGGCATTTCATCAAACAGGTGGCGTACCCGATCTCCTCGACATTGTAGTCGAGCTTGCCGCCGCGTGTGACGCCGGTGGTCAGCCAGAGCTTCCCCTTGCTGTCCAGCACCTCCGCCGCGCCGGCCTCCTCCACCCACCGCGCCCGCGACGCCACGTTCCTGCTCCGCAACATACGCAAACCCGCTGAACGATCCACAAGCGCACCAACAGATCAACCGCAGGAGGAGAGCCGAGAGCACGCACCTGAACTGGACTCTGGAGGACGAGGGCGCCTCGTCCGAGAGGAAGGGGTTGAGGTGGTGCTCCTCCCCGTCGTCTTCCGCGGAGGCAGCCCCGGGAGCGCGGCCCCTTCGCCGCCGGTCTCGCGCCGCGGCCGCCATGGACAGACAGCTCCGCAACACTGGAAAATTCAACGTCCCGTCACACTGGAAACGGGCCCCCAAAAGAGGTAGGCTCCACGCACACGTGGGCCAAGGCCAAGATAGCGGGCCCTGACAGGCGGGGCCCAAAATAGGGAAGAGACGTATCTTCCTTTTTATCGCGAGACCTCGTCTTCTCCCCCTTTCGCATCCTTTTCATTCAAAACAGGCAGGGCAGGGAGAGGGGAGGAGGTGGAGGAGGAAGCGCCGAGCGAAGAAAAAAAATCGAGTGAGCGGGCCGGCGGCGCGGCGCGGCGGCTGCCTTCTCTGCGCGTCCGGTCGAGCTCGGTTCGTCGGGTGAGCGCGGTACGTCCCCCCATCTCCGCTCGTGTCGATTTGCGCTGGATTTGCCTCCGCGGTAGGCGCCGATCCAGCGAGGTAGTTGCGGGCGACGAGCTGTTCTTCGACTCGTCCCCCAAGCCGACGGTCCCTGGGTCGAATTCCTCCATTTCTTGGCAGATTCGCCGTCGATTCGGTGCGGCTACCTTAGGAATTGGGAATCAGGGGCATCTGTGCGTGCGCTGTACTGCTCGTTTCGTGCTCTGGCTCGTGGACGGGTCTCCGGCTTGATCCGTCCTACGGTTGCTGAGGGTCGTGGTGATGATCCCCCCGATTTTGTTACTGCTCGTGGTTCAGTTCACTGCCCCAGATGGGACTTCTTTTTTTTAGTTCAAATTTCGTCAAGAACGTGTGGTTGGATTTTGCATTGTTGGCCCTCGGTAGCTTTGTCGAGATGGTCCAAAGTTTGATCTGACATCTGAGCATCGTTGTCCTTGATTTATTTATACTGCTATAAGATGGTCACAGGGTAAAATGCTTGCTGATAGTTGACACTTGACAGATAGTTTGTGGTAAAAGCAAGTAACTGTTGAATCACGTCTCTTTCACTCTCAGGTCGATTCAAGAGCTTAAGGGAGCATGAGTACTGCCAACGGCACACGGCGTGCCTCCAGAAGGCAATCACAAGATGCTGATAAGGTCGTCGTGAACTTGGTCTCAACCCCCCCAGCGGCGGGCAGCCGACGTGGAGTATCGACCTCTAACGCTGGCGCGCGCACCTCACCCATTGATGTGGAAGCCCTCGAGGATGAAGTGCAGGTCGTATCAGCTTCACAAGTGCCTCCTCAGGTAACTTCGCGAGGCAGTAAGCTCGTAGTGATGTTTAAGGACCATGGTGTATACATTCACTTTTCAAATAGGTTTTGTACTCCCTCTGTAAACTAATATAAGAGCGTTTAGATCACTACTTTAGTATTCTAAACGCTCTTATATTAGTTTACGGTGGGAGTACTTCTTATGATTCTGACGCACACAAGCTCTTCATATTGAGGAAGAGTATTACAACTTGGTTATTACATGAATGTGATGCACCATTTCTGGCATTTATATCGAGTCTTCTTGCATTTTGCAGAGGAGGAACCGGAGACCCAGGAGGCAGCCTGTGACAGTAGTTGATCTCGATGTACATGCTATCCGGCAAGGTTAGTTCGCTACTTAGTCTTACTATGTTGCATTCTGTAGAGTTGTTTTGGCTTCTAACATTACGGAAATTGTTTGGTATATTCTTCATCATTCTATTATCATCTGCCTAATCAATTCTTCTGGAATTATCCAATTTATAAAAAATCACCTATATCATGCTGCTATGATGACCGTAAGTGCTGATTATACAATGTGACATAAGTTTGCTTTCTAGTGGGAACAGACATATATAAGCTATGCTGAAAATTGGACCCGTGGCTAATTTCCTATATAATAACTTCCTGTTGCAACGTGATACATATATATTGATGCTGACTCTGGAAACCACAACTGGAAGTTGTAAAATATTCCCTCCGTCCCAAAATAAAGGACTCAACTTATTTTGGGACAGAGCGAGTATTTGTCAATATGCTATCTGACTATATATCACTGTCATTTAAGCCTCCTTATCTGCCTCATTGTTTATTCAATCAGGAGTGTCTCATGATGATAATGCAACAGTGCTTTCTCATAACACAAGGAACAAACGCCCAAGAGTTTCCCCTGTAATAAACATCTCTCCAGAAACAGGAGAAGGGTCCAGCTTACAGGTATTTAATTTTTTTTGAAGGGATTAAACTCTCTTAGCTTTAAGTCCAGTTTGATGAATGATTAGTGATTACTTATTAGTTGTTCTCTACTTTGTCCTTTATGTGAATAACAGCTGGTATCTAGTGCACGATGCACCCCTTTGTTCGTTCTATAGAGTTTTGCATTATGTTGTCCTTTTAGTGGACTAAGGGTGTAACTATGTTTGATTAAGTTGAAAGAATTTCTCGTTGTATGTTTGTCATACTTGCAGTTCTCTGATGATGTCATATAGACCTGTCCAGGTTGTTCTCGAGTGGCCAACGGTTAAGACTCTTGGTTGGCACTGAAAATTTCGTAATTGTTAAATTTCAAGAAGCATTTTGCCATCTGTTATGTAGGTGCAGTGTACTAACATGTTTACCTTATACTCCCTCCGTCCTAAAATAAGTGTCTCTGCTTTGTACTAACTTTAGTACAACAAGTTGAGACACTTATTTTAGGACGGAGGGAGTAGTTTATACCTTATGCTATAGGATATTTCCACCTAAGAAAGCTGCTCTATACATTCCATCCTGCCTTCCAGTTCCTACTAGCATGTTGCCTCGTGATTTGTGCTAAACTCTAGCTACCTGCGTTCCCATTCTTGGCAGTCAAAAAATGCGGGGAAAACTAGCAAAGAGCCTGTGAAGGTGGCTCCAAAGGAACCCATCTTCACCTGCCCGGTGTGTTGGAACAAGTTGGACGAGCCCGCCACAACAATGTGCGGCCACATCTTCTGTACAAACTGCATCAAGCAAGCCATCCAGTACCAGAAGAAATGTCCTACCTGCCGGAAGCACCTGAAGATGAACAATTTCCATCGCATTTACCTTCCTAACACCTCCCGTTAAGGTGAGCCCTTTCAGTTTCTATACACCTTAATCTGTTGAGCTTCAATTTCATCAGATACAGGTCCGTTCGATGTGTTAAAATGAACCTCTGACTTTGAAATCTATCGTCAGGGTCAGGAGTCCTCCCAGGGAGAACCATGGTGGATCTTCTGCTTGGGAGCATTGTGTATCATCATCACCTAGATGAATGTATGGAAATGGGTCGGTAGGAGTTCATCGTCCTGATGACCGGACTGGATAACCTTCTGCCTGAAATGGGTTAACCTGATAAAGATAGTGGATAGCCTTCTGCCTGAAATGGGTTTAACCTGATAAACAGAGTGGATAGCCTTCTTCTGCCTGAAATGGGTTTTACAAATTTGCCTGTAGCCTTCTGTATATTGTTTGCGGCAACTTAAAAATGTTGTATGTATTAGGCTAATAGCCTTGTACCCTTCTCTTCTCCATAGTTGGTCGATGTAACTGCATCTGAGATTGCACATTTGGTATTTCTGTTCAGTGCCGTGCTATGTTCTGAAGTGGCTGCCCTGGCATTTTATCAGCTACCATACTGCCCAGGGTAGGTATGGCTGAGGACGTAGGGGAACTTCATAGTCCTGCCAGGGAAAATATCTAGTGCTACCGTCAATTAGGTGATACGGTGCTACAGGTCTGCTGGGGCCGTTAGATCTGTAGGGAATGGTCTTGATCAACTCAACCTGCTGTTTACCTGTGCCCCCTAGAACATTTGCATCCTGCCCCTCAAAAGAAGCATGTGTTTGCAAAATCTACTATATCTCATTCAAGCTGTGGTCTGGCTAAGTGCAGTACAGTATCGGTACATGTTGACCGACTAGGTGCTTGATAACTACTCCCTCTGTTTCAAATTATTTGGCGCAAAAATGGATATATTTAGAACTAAAATACATCTAGATAATTCGAAACGGAGGGAGTAATAAATACATCAAATATTCAATCGGCAACTCCAGAGGAGGTGAGAATCATTAACAGAACTGGTACATAAAACCAACGAAATCAAACTTACGCACTTTCAACACCTACAAGCGAGAATCAGTGTTTAATTCATATAGAGTTGAGTTCCAAAATGCTAGAAAAAACATTCCTGCACAATTTTGCCACATACATCCTTCCACGTCAAGACCAGGCAACAACGAATATTAAGTGAAGCAAATAAAATCCTACAAGCAAAACTAATCATGCTGCTTTGATTCAACTGAAATATAAGCAACAAGAGCATGCAAAACAGAGGAGATTACACAACACTAATAGCACCTTCAGGAAGCACGTAGGTGTCCAGTAAAGCAAACCACAGGCCTGGCCCAGAACCGCCAATACATTCAGCACCGCTGCTGGAAGATGCGGAATGAGCTCCAACCTCCGTGGCTGGCGCTGAGAAATTGACTTGTAACTCTAGATTGAGCGTGGTTGGCGGCGGCGCCTGGAAATGTCCTATGGTGGCCGCCCGTGCCGGCAAGGTCGTCACCGTGGTACACTCGAGTGGCTCGGACAGGAATCGACCGAACGACACCGACTTCCGCAGCGCAAACATCCAATCCAAAAATCAAATAAGAAAAATCACGAAATCGAACACGAGAAAACGCCCCAGATGCGTACGACGAAGGAGGCGATGTCTCTTACCCGATCGTTGTTGCGTAGGGTCTCCGGCCCCCGCGATGCGGTCGGCTCCAGCGACGGCTCCCATAAAAATGACCGGATGTGAGCGAAGGAATCAACACGCGCGAGAGCCGAGAGAGCCCTATAATCTGCGCTGGATCGGAACTAGCAGGGTGGATGGGGGCATGCCACGGTGGCCGGCGGCGATGCAAATCGATTGAGGAAGAGGCGAACAGGGAAGAAGGATTTGCAGCTCGTCACTGGTTTGTAGAATAAACGAGGGTGCCTTCTGCATAATTTGCAACGCGAAGTGAGCCTACTCAATCCTGTTCCTCCAGTTCAGATCCAACGCTTACCATGCTCTCGGATAAGGGGAGCATGTACTGTAGCCGTATCACCAGACGTCATGCCAACAAGCACACACACTGAAGTAATTTTGTTTTGTAAATACAACAGTTATAAATGTCAAGTATCACAGACTATCACAAGCGCATCCAAACTATTCCCTATCATGGGTTTCTTCATTCTGAAAAGATGCATCACAATTGATCCGCTGACCACTTGCAATATTAGGCCTAAGAATTTACTATTAACTAGAACATCTACTTTAGGCCTTTGCTGGCAGCTTGTTCATTATGGGGCTGATCTTTTCGTCAGAGAGCCCCCTTTGGGGGTCAACCTTGTAGGTTTCGTAGAAGTCCAGCATTTCCATTGAAATATTCTTCACCTGGGTATTGCAAATGAATCTCGATCAATTTGATGGGTATTGTGAGGGGGAAAGGGGGTGTTCACAAACATGCGCTCACAATGTTCATATCAACATGAAGTTCTTCAAACCATGAAGTTGTATCCTTATCTTTAAGAACACTGGCAATGTATATACAAGCCAATGCAATCATATAGGGAGGCTGTACGAGAATAAGGTCCATTTTGTAAGTATCATTGACAAGGCCCCTGCAAGTAACCATGACTGATCAGAATAGATATATGCCAAGTTGAAGATTAAGCATGATAGAAGCATTTCACTTGTATTTGTATTCCATGTGATCCCAGATAAAAGCTATCGCTTTATTGACTAACTGAGTAACTGTGCTGTAATACAGAAAATGAGAAGGAAAACCCAGCTGAGGTACTTCTATCATATGTCCCTACAATCCTACAGGCTACAGTTCTATCAAGGATATTCAGAACATCAATGCCAAATGTAAATACCGTTGATAAACTCAAAATATATATTAGGAGAAATCCTGAAACAAGGATACCAAAAGATAAGTCTGCTTTCTCTGGGGCTAACATGCTCATGTCATAAAAACATTTGTCTAAGAAAAGCTACAGTAGATGCTTTGAGTGACATTTGGTGGTTAAAATCTAAATATCTACTGTAGCTTTTCTTAGATAGAAAGGTCAACAAAGCACAAAAAAAAAATGCGACTGTGGTTGAATTATAAAGGTCTAGAAGTTCAATTCCAGAATAGCAGCATTCACAAATCAATTTAATGCTACACGGCATAGTTTCATTCATGAAGCAGTGCTTACCAGGCAAACTGTGTCAGGTCTGTTACGCCAGCATCCTGCAATAAACTGCAAACAGAAAATCTCTCTTAGGGGAACAGTTAACTATAAGAGGCCCCCTACTACCAGTGAAGAAATGTCATTTGTTACTCTTATAAGATATCACAGGAAACAGAATCATACTGTAAAAGAGGACGATAGGGATGGTAAACAACTAAGTAATAGTCAAGCGCTTCCAGGAGCTTCATTTCCATTTCAAGAATATCCTTAATTTCAAATCGGTACTTATCATCAGAACCTGCTATCAAGGGGAACAACTAAACCGTTAGTGCAGCTCTTCCAAGTAAACTGTGTACCTGTATGATCATGATTCATGAGACTTACCACACATCTTTTTTATGTAGAAGACGAGAAGCCTTGCTTGCACTGTGCTCTCCTCTACCTTCGATGCTAAATATAAACAAGCTGGGGCTACCAAACGAGGGTCATACTCACTCATGCTCTTTCTGTAAAAAGATTCAGCATTAGGACACAAGTATACCTGCTTACGTAAAGTACTAAATTTGGTTTAGAGAGAAATGTAGAAACAAGCAAACGAAATAAACCTTCATGTCCAACTTTTGCTCACATGAAGTATAAAAACACGAGTTTGATCCTCGATGTTCAGAACACTACCAGTTGAAATTTATAGTTACAGAAAATTTTCATAGTACTAGGTTTAGCTGATACGCATGAGTTCTGATTGAAGCAAGTTGAGAACCATTATAATAAATAAAGTATACAAACATGAGTTTGATCCTCGATGTTCAGAACACTACCAGTTGAAATTTATAGTCACAGAAAAGTTCCATAGTAGTAGGTTTAGCTGATACACATGAGTTCTGATTGAAGCAAGTTGAGAACCATTAATATCTACAATATCACGAGTTCTGATTGGGTGATTGGAGCAGCGTGAAATCTTACAGGGTTCTGACTGAAGCACTGAATTTCCCATCAGAACAAAGAAAGAAACAGCAAAACATCATATACAGTCATAGTATACGAAACATCCAGTAAGTTGACCATCTTAGATCCTAGGGGAACACAGCACCTTGCAGCCTAAAAAAGTAGTATCATAGTTTCCTTTCTCCAGCTAATTAAAATGATAGTCAAATTTAGGCAAGAAATCAGAGACCAGAGGGGTGGGGCACTCTTTCTTCGTGATGAACAGAAAGAAACTACATATCCCATGTATCCTTGTTAGGTGAGAATCATACCTTGTATAGACACGCCTGAAGTAAGTGATGGCAGTAGCTATGACTCTGAAATAGCAATGATTTAAGATGATCGGCATCACGAGTTAATCCCAGAAAAAACGAGAGGAAAATGTACTGCGTATTAGTGGACAAATGGCAACTCTAATCTTATAAGAACAGCCCCAACAAACATGTGATTAATAAACAGTACAGATAAAGCACAACAAACAATGCCACTGAGCCAGTGAATCCTTTTTTTTTTGTATGAAAGCAAGTAGCTTATATATCAATCTTGAAGTTGAAACAAACTATGCAGAAATATTATAAGGAAGGTGAAACCTGATGAGCGAAAGTATGAATGTGTTTATCGTAATACTGTAATAAGTCAACAATTTGTACGCCAATATTTACTCTCTCTGTAAACTAATATAAGATCTTTTAGTAGTGATCTAAACAATCTTACATTAGTTTACAGAGGGAGTATAACACTTGTTGATATGGAAGTAGCCACTTCAGTAAAGTAACCGAAAATATTTATTAGTAGATAGACGCAAGCATTGCTTTCATTTTCTTGGCAAGTGCAAAACACTATGGAGATCTCCTTGGTTAAGCGTAGAAGGAAAGCATGCTAAGTCCAAA